CTCAAGGGATTTCGGTTTCTCTGTTTTTAAGTAAAAGTTTAAGCTTTCCGCTGAAAGTTTGTTATTCATTAAGTCTACAGCTACAGTAAGTGACGACTCGATCCATACGGGTCGGGGCGTTACACGGTAAGTTAAGTGTATATCCGGTGAGTTGTATTAAAACGTGAGGAGTGTTAAAACCGATTAGTTTATATCAAATCTAGTAAGTTTCACTCTTTGATTCATAAATTCCATTATAGTTTAGTTGATGCATAGGCAAATTTTCATAAAGAGACATTTCATAGAAAAAGTTCATTCATGAAAAATGTTTGGAAACAACTTTCACTTGCTTTGAAGCTTAGCCAAACTCACTCATAGTTAGCATTAAGAGTGATTGACATAATGCGCTAACTAACTCCATGTACACGAATTCAGATTACTGAATGTTTTTTGAATACTTACTTCTGGACCTTCTCATGTAAAATCGTTAACTTGGCATCTCAGGATGAAAATGGCATTGGATGTCGCAAGGTACCTATTCAATGATCTTTAGAGTAACTTCATCATCTTTCGATTTTGTTTAGTGGTGGAGAGTTGACTTTTTTTAGAGGATTAGAGTATCTTCACGAGCATTGCAACCCTCCTGTGATCCATAGACTTCTTAAATCATCCAATATTCTTCTGGATTCGAACTCCAACGCCAAGGTAAAATGATCAGAATATTTTGATCTCCAAGTTTACAATTTTTTTTTGATTTTGGCTAATGGCTTTGGCTTTGGTTCAGCTTTCTGATTTTGGTCTTGCAATACATGGTGGAAACTCAAACAAGACAAACATCAAATTTTCGGGAACTTTGGGTTATGATGCTCCAGAGTACCTCTTAGATGGTATACTGAATTTTTGTTTCCTAACTTTTTATGACTTTACACATCCTCATTCTATTCACCCTTTGCATGCTATTCCATCAAGATTTTTCCTCTGAATTCCAATTATATCCATTTTTTAAGGGAGGAAAACTTATTTTTCAAACGTTATCCTCAGATGATTATATTAGTCGAAATGTTATAATTCTTTTTATTATGAGAAATATTAGTTCGATGGCACCAAGATTTCGTGCATTTTAATACATATGAAGAGCAAGCACGCTTTTGAGGAGTACCTCATGGATTTCTAGTAGTGTAGGTTTTACAAAGTGATACCGCAAGTCTAAAGACCCCAAGAATAAACGAAAAAACGACGTGTTATGAGGATAATCTCTTAGATCATTGGCTCAAAGAGAGGTTAGAGTGAAATTGAGCAATTCTTGCCTAATTTTTCAACAATCTTCCACGTATGCTCACGGACAAAAGTAATTTTTCAACAATCTTCCATTCATCTGGAGCTTTTACTCGGAACAATGCCTCTGGATAAAGTGGCTGAAGGACAATGCCAATAGATAGTTATCTGGGTAAATCTTAATGAACGTTTGTTGAGCTGATCATTAATATATAATCCATTTTTAGTCAGCCATGTTTGGCTAAGCATAAAGTCACAGTTAAGTCACTTCTTTTGCTAAATTCGTTTGATGTCGTTTAAAAGTGTTTATTTTTTATTTTTTTTTTTTTCAGCACAAAATTCGAAAGCATGTTTGTCTGAGTTTAAAAAGTTCACTTATAAGAAATTTTGAAATTGGAGCATGTTCTATTTGATTTGGCTAACAAGTAAATTGCACAATCCAAATGAATTTGGAAATCGAAAGTTACTTGAGCGCAACTTTTAACTTTTTCTAAGCTTAGCCAAACGTGTTCCAAATGTCCAACAAAAGTAAGTTTACATTTTCTTCAGTGTAGCCAAACATAGTGCTAATGTCTACTATCTTCGACGAGCGGGCGATGCCGCAGCTTACCGACAGGTCAAAGCTTCCGAACATAGTTGATCACAACATCAGAAACACGATGGAGTTGAAACATTTATACCAAGTATCTTTCTATCAAAAGTCTTGTCTGTCTTGAAATGAATTTTTTTTCAAAATTACTAAAATTGAGGAAATATACCTTTTTTTTTTCCTCACGAGTGGCTGTTATAGCTGTGCTATGTGTACAACCCGAACCATGTGGGCAATGGGTCGGGTCGGGTCGGGCATAGCTTGCATTTAGGATTGGGCAACGGGTCGGGTCGGGCCGGACCGGGCCGATTTTTACCCAAACCCGAACCGACCCGAATTTACCAGTTTTGGGGTATTTTTAAACCGAACCGCTCGATCATTAACAGGACTCGAGCCGGGTCAGCAATTATTTTTTAATTTTTTTTTCTTTTTTCGGGTAGTTTCAAACTGCCTAATGAATCCTTATTTGCCTGAAATAAAATCAGAAAAAGTTTAATGTTTTTTTCTTCCTGTTGATAATAGTGTCATTTTCATAAATCATGGTATCGTAAAAAATTTAATCGAAACAAGATAATTAAATTAAATTAAAAACACAATAACAAAACAAAACAAAATCAAAATAGCCATCAAACATGAAAAGAAAATTTAAATAGTGCAGTTATCTAATAATTAAAAATATTATAGTATTCCAAACACAATAAATAAGAAAATAAAAATGCTACAATCATCTGAAATCAAAACTCTCATAAAATAAATAATAAGTTAAAATTTTACAACTTTCGAGTTATCGCATAAACTCTAAGCATCATTCCTACAATAAAAATAATAGAATTATTTAGAGAGAAAGATAAATATTACATTAATAAAGAGTTATGTACATTAGAATCCATATCTACCTCAAAAATTTAGAATTGAACTAATTACATTGATTTTGCCTTCATTTGATTTTTTTGATTTCAAAAGCTCTGCAAAAAAATAATGATTAAATTAGGAATAAATTTGATAAAATACATATTTATCATAACCATGGAATTGCCACATTACCTTCATCCAACTTATTATATTCCTCCACATCTTCCATATAAATTTTCTCCATTCTGTAGACTCTTTAATCCAATTTTATGTACACGCGAAAACTTCCACCATTCTAGGAGTTAAAGAACTACAAAAATGGATCAAGAATTCTTCATCCGATACTGAAAGCACTTTCTGAAGCCACCATAGACGCCTGAATAGCCATTACATCTCTTGCAAGTTTTGACAATATACCATATTTGTTTCCATTAACTTTCCACCAATTAAGACCATCAAAAGCATCGTCCTCGGTATCTTCACAAGGGTCTAACAAGTATCTATCCACATCATTTTTCAATTCAATTAAATCTTTTGCTACTTGTGATCTCTTAAACTTGAAACAAGAGAAAGAGACGCACTTGAAGTGAGACTTTTTTTTGCAGAAGAAACCTCACTTGAAGAATTCAAGTCACTAGATACTTGATTGTTTTTAGAGCTTGCTTCACGTCTCACGTACCAATCATAAATAGAAATCAAATTGTCTTTCGAAATCTTTGTCATATTTAAAGCAATAGCATACGCCAATTTGTATTGTGGATCAAGCACAGTAGCAATCAACAACAACTGATTAACATTTTCCATTTTCCCCAAATACTTGTCAAACCTGTTCTTCATGTTAATAGCCATTTGACGCAAAAGAAAATCACCACTTGAACTCAATTGTTCCAATTCGGTTACAAGTGAACATATTTCATGAAGATAAACATTAGAGCTAACATGCATTGAAATACTGAACTTGAAAGTTACTTCATAAAAGCCTTTAAAGAACATCACAAAAATAGAAGCATTTTCTCAATCAAAAGTTGTAGGAGACCCACTCCTTCTACAACCATCATACTCCTAAAAATAACTTAAATACTGCACATCATCCTCCTCTAACCTTTCAAAAGCTTTTTGAAATTTTAGAGCGGCTTCCCACATCAAATATGTGGAATTCCACCTCGTTGGTACATCAAAAAACACAAGTGATTTACAATCAATTTTTTCTTCCCTTGCACACTCCTTTAAATTTTGTTCTCTAGCAAGAGAAGATTTAACATATTTTATAGCATTATGAATACTAACAATTGAATCATGTGCTTCCTTCAACCCCTTCCACACAATCAAATTAACAATATGCGTACAACACTTCATGTGCACATACTTTCCGTCTAAAACACACCCATCACCACTTCGACCAATCATCTTCCTCTTAATATAAGAAATAGGCATTTCATTTGTACTTGCATTGTCAACTGCGATTGTAAACAATCTCTCAATACCCCATACACGCAAACAAGTCTCAATAGTATTACAAATAGTTTTACCCTTATGATTAGCAATCACACATAAGCCCAAAATCAATTTATGAAGCTTCCAATCATAATCAACTCAGTGTGTTGTGAGAGACATATAATTAATATTTTGAATGGAACTCCATGTATCAGTAGTAAGTGAAACTCTTTAACGTTGGATGATTTTTTTCAATTGCAATTTTTGATCCAAATACAACTGATAAATATCTCTAACAACAGGTTTACGAGATAGATGATCAAATTTAGGACATGCTACCCTACAAAATTGTCTAAACCCCTCACCTTCAACAAAGCTAAAAGGTAATTCATCAAATATTATCATCTTAGCACATGCAAGCCTGCACTCTTCCTTATTAAAGCCAACTAGAATGTCATGCCACCCTCAGTTGGGCTTTTTTGTCATTTATCTTCCAATCTTCCAGGACACTTCTTATAATAAAGAACCAAATGATTCCTCAAGGTACTAGTCTCATACTTCCTAGCCCCACAAGGATAATCTTGTTGCATGCACACTTAGCATCTTCTACGTTTGGATTTCCTATAACTATGAAGTGATCCCACACATTAGAAGATTTTCTATTTTTTTTCTTCCCTAAACATGATGGTGGAAGTGTAAGAACAGATGCTGAAGGAGTTTCAGCAATAGCTTCAATTTCACTATCTATATCCATGTTCATATCTATACAAATCAAGCAAGATACAAAATAAATATAAGAGAAAGTGTTTTTGTTAATGCATAACATTGTCAGGCTGGTAAGTTGCATGGGATAGATGACAAAGCACTAGTTCAATCTCTCTTAAAAACTATCAAAATCCAAAACATAATAAATGGACAATATCACTCTGATACCACTGTTGGTCCTAGTTTGTGACCAAACGAGCACAAGAAATATTCAATCAAATGAAAAACAGTAAAGAAGATTGAGGTTTTTGGCCTTAAAGGACCAGGTGTTCATCTTTAAGACAGCCTACCATATTGCACATCCACCGAAGTGTTTCACGCTCAAATTCTTTAACACGAGTCCAAAAAAAGTCACAATAGATAAAGATACACCAAATCTCTCATTTTCTTTGCACACGACTCACAACAGTAAACCCTCACACTTCTAATCACCCAAATACCACAGGTTAACATCAATTACTGTTTACCAAGACCAAATTATAAGCTAATCTCCCCAATATTATAGTAAGCACTCAAGAAATCTCGTTTAGAAACAAAAAAAAAAAAAAGGAAGAGAGATGATCTTTAAAGAGAACATCATATGAAAAATGTAAGATAAAGGGTAGCTGTGCAACTGACTATATAGAAAGGAGATTGAGTGTCTCTTAAAGGATCCCACATGTTGATCTAGGTGATGGCGCAATTCCAAATGGCAGCGGAGACAGCGAAAGAGTTGAAAATGATAGTGGTGAGGCAGTAGAAGATGACGTTGGTGGTGACTACTGCTGATAGGGTTGTGCAAGAGTGTTCCTCCGTGGCAGTTGAAGATGAACATGAAGAACAGTGGCCACAGGAGATGCAGAGAGAAGATTTCGCACTTGCAAATGACATGGATAGGGTTTTAGATTTGATATTGAATTGGGTCAGTTAAAGTGGGTTTAAACTTGAATCGATTAGACCCTAATAATTTTATAATGAGAAAATTACGTAAACCTAGGGATCTAAGATTTATTTATCAAAAATCAGGTGATTAAGAATTTTTTACAAAAATCAGGCATTAAATCCCGACACCCCCAATTCATTTCTCTTTCTCTCTGCCCCCTTCTTCTCTCTCTTCTCCCTCTACCCCCATTATCGTCGCCGTCCAATACCGTCACAAGATGGAGAAGCTCCACAAAAGTTATCGTTCAGAGATCCAAAGTGCCGCTCCATATGATGGCCCTCGCAGGATCTCCTCATCCTGGGTCCACTTCGAGAGCATGCACTCCATGGAGAAGGGCCCCAACAACTCTCCTTCTTCCTCTGATGACGAGCCGTAAAAAATCAATTCTAGCACTAGTGGTTACGGGGTTTCTGGTAAATTTTCGAGAGATGGGTTTACGCGTATGGATGAGATTGGGAAAGGGATTGGTGATATTGCCAAGAAAAAGAAAGGGGATAATGGGATGGACGAGGTGGTGGCTGCGATAGAAACATTAGGAGAGTGGTTTGTGAGAATAGAAAAAGTCAATATGGATATGGCGCACGAGGTGGAACAGATGCGAATGCAGATGGAGTTGAAGAGGACTGAGATGATACTTGAGTCGCATCAGAGGATTGTGGAGGCCTTTGCTAATGCAATTTCAGATAGGAAACCTAAGAAGGCAAAGAAAATGCCAATGCCTAATTGCTAAATTGGGTGTTGCCTTCAAGTAAGGATCTTGAGATCGTTAATGTTAGTTGAGGACAGTGCTTTGGGACATTGATTCAAGTCTCTTTACCAATGTATGTAAATTTGGGAGTTAGATTTTCCTTGTTACTTAAATTGGTTGTGTTTTTCCCCCATCTTTTTTGCTTGTCAATTTTTAGCATAGCATTCAAAAGTTGATTATTGGTAGCATATTTTCAATTTCATGTCGCTTGACCATGCATTATGATTCATATGTTGACTCGCAACTTTGTATAAATTGAATGAGATGTTGGAGCAAATTATGTAACAAAATTCTGCTATTCTGTTTTTTAAGTATAAAGTCTTGTTCATTTCTAAGAAATCTGAAGAAGTTTCAGCCTAGGTACTTCTAAGATGAAGTTTGAAAATTTTCTCTCCTCGTTGATCAATTGCTTCAAATTAAATTGAAGCAATCTGCAATGTTCTACCTTCTTCTTCTGGTCACATAGAGCTACCAATATCTTCCATGTCTGGTTGTGTTTGTGTTTGGTTAGTTGTGTGTTTAAGTTTGGGTTTGATCTATAAGTGGAATGGTGAGGGTATTAGTAATGGAGGAGGGGCAGTGGCTTGCCCAATTGTTTGAGTTTCAGTAGAAGTTAGAGTTGTGGGGATTGTCTTGGTGATAAGGTTAGTTTCCTTCTCAGTCGTTTGATTGTGACCGATTGTGACTGACGATTGACCTGGTCACAAACAGTCACACTCAAGACAAATTTGATCACAGTTAGTCACATTGAACATACACTTGGTCACAATTAGTCACATACAGTCACACTGAACACAAATTTTTTTTCGGTAATTTTTTAGGAGGTGGAGGCAGAGGTGGGGTGGTGGTAGGTGGATCCATGGGTTGGGGGTGTGATTTCCAATTTTTAATTTTCTGGAAATTTTGAAATCGCCAGAATGGTCGTCGGAACAGTCGCGGAGCAGTCGTCGAGCCTCGACGGAGCAGGTGCCGGAGATGGAGGGAAGGTGGTGTTGTGTTGTGGGGTGGGTGAGGTGTCATGGGGTGTAAATAATTAATGTATATTATATTATATTTTAATATTTAATAAATTTATTTACCACCTGATTTTTGAAATATTTTAATAAGTTTGTTATTTATGAAATATAAACTTTCAAACTAGGAATTATGTATTGTTCCCTTTTATAATTGTTTGGAACTCGATCTAACCCCTTCTTATTCTAAATCGACCCGAACTGATTCGGGTTGGGTTGGGTCGAGTTTGCGGTTTTTGGTTTATGGGCCCAGCCCTATTTGCATTTTCATTGATCTCGAGGACGCTAAATTCGTGTGGAACCGTTCCCGAATTCTCAATATTAATTTTCTATTTTTGAATCTAATAGAGTTTTTCATCAATAATTTTTAAGGGAAAATTAACAATTTTAAAGAGTCGGAGCAGACCTCTGCACAATTGGACTATAATCGTAAATTTGTCTCTTTTCACTTCATAAAATTGGTCCAAAAAAATTTACTCACCCCGAATTTTCATATCTAATTCAGCTTTAAATTTTAGTCCAGCTTATTAGCATTAATTACACTGCTGATATTGAACTGATTTATACACTTATATAGGTCACCAAAATTAGACATTTGTGAGTATTTTTTTGAACTGGAATCTTAATTTTGTATGGTTATTAATTATTTTAGGAGAAAGCCTGATATTGAATGAGAAAGGACAAAAATGACAAATTTTGGAAATCAAGGACCAATATATCAATTTTTGAAGTTAAAGGACATACATTGCAATATTGAATGACTTGGGCTGATTGGAAAAGTCAATTGCGGGACAAATTGCTCTAAAAATGAAAATGCCTTAACGTAGCTATATCAGCGTCCAGAATTGTGTTTTCCTAATTCTATTCAACTACCGATTCTATACTAATTGGGATAGATTTCTGACCTAGAAAAAATGTCCATAAATATCATTCATTTATTCTTTTGAAGCAGAGAGATGAGAGACACATTCTTAAAGCATTGTTCATTATGTCATACATAGATTCTTGATTTTTATGGGTCCAAATTGGTCTAATTGAACATGTAGTTCTTGAACTTTAATTACAATTATAATTAATTCCGAAACTTTTTTAAATTAATGCAATTGAGTCTACAATTTTTGAGCTACCATAAGGTCCTGATCAGATATATATGATCTAAACTACACTATATTAGATCTTGTCTAGTCGGTTCTAGACCGTCTAATTTAATTATTAATCTTTACTCCTCTTTTTTAACTAAAGAAAAAAGACCGCACTCTTGAAATATATAAAATCACATAAACTAATATATATTTGTAATACCTCTCTTTAACCTACCATAAATGTATTTTATCTTCGTCAGATATTCGATAGTTAGGTACGTGCACAATTTATCGTTTTGTCCCACAAATTATTCTTATAGTGAAATAATCTTATATGTTGAAGTTTAATTATCGCTAAGCACTAAGCTCAGATTTATAACTTTCCAACCGAAAAAAATTAAGTAGTCAATATACCTATTTTTTTAGGGCAATAGTTTTCAACACGAATTTGTGTTATGTACACTTATTTTTAAGCTCCCAGCTCATCGAGATATTTGTCCAAGTAAATTGATCACAAATTGGTGAATCAGATAACTATTAAATTCATATGATATTCATAACTATGTCAAGAAATTGAGATGAAATAATTGGCAATCAAGTGGAATTTAATTCTTTGTATGGTTATGCTATATAATTAAAGCCAACACGTCATTCGTACAATACACTTTAATGTACAATTATCACATTTAACTATTTTTATGATAGGGACAAATAGCAAACCCGAATAATGAATTAGTCAACATAACAACTTTCGAGTACAAGGTACCAGTCCTTATACATTAATTGTGAACAAATTATTTATGTTCAAAATATAAGTTGTATCACACTGTACTTCTCAACGCAACCATCCAACTAATGTTATGTCAAATGATCAAAGACACTTTAATTCATATGCTCAATATTAATAAAACGCAACTACACAAATAAATAAAAACCACGATTTATTTATTATCACAAGTGTTATTTTACATCAGGAAAACTATACTATATGGGGCACAAAATTCAACAAATGATACCTCAGCTTTAAACAAAAAAAAAGGCACCAACGTTACAAATGCTCCACTCTTTAGTGTGTGTCAACTAAGCTTATTTACTTCTCAGGTAAAAGTTTTAACATGATGCACCTTAGAGCTTCATTATAACGAAGAATAAAACTGAGGAAAGAGTAAGCATCACTTTGCTTGCTTCATTGATTATTGTATAAAAAACTACAGGAATTTAAGGAAGGGGGGAATCAATCTCTAGAAATCTGTAGAATGCCATTTTTTGCGTAACAAATGATGTGAAGAATATAGAAGCAGCCAAAAACACTTTGAACCTTAGAAAAGAATCCGGACACAAAACTCTGATTATCATTAAATATACATTAGAATAGCCTAATGTGTTCGATTAACGAGAGATATGTCGCATTTCCTTAGCAATGATTTCTTCCTTGATCACAATCATTTAAATATAGCATTATTCGTAAGTCAGAATTATCATTTTTGAAATTGACTCTAGAAAGCAGTATTTCCTTTGTTCAAAAACAACATGGACAAATGTGTCTATAATTTATTCCAATGAGAATTAGAACTATTTTATTCGAACGGATTTCCAGATTTAAAAAATGTTAGTTACCCTCGTCATTTTCCCACTAAGGGCTTGTTTGATAGGCCATTTTTTTCATGGAAAATGGAATTGAAATTCCATTTCCTACTTTTGTCATGTTTGATCTTTGATGGAACTTCTTTTTCCAAGAATTGGTTTTCCACCTTTGCCACATTTCTTGGTTTCAGTTGAATTTCAATTCCCACCAATTCCATCATTTTTTTGTTTTTTTGCTATTTTTTTTAATTTGGCAATAGAAACAAATTATATCCCCAGTTGTAAAAAAATATTATCCCTTTAGTTGACAATTTTCATGTAAAATAAAGCCGAACGAACACCAAAAATTTTTCAAATTTTTTTTTTTTTGGCAATCCAGACAAATTATATCCCCAATTGTAAAAAATTATATTCTTTTA